ACTCAGAACTGATGACAAACACAGTTTAATGCTAATCCCAATACACTCAAGCATGCACAGTTGATTACACACAACATTCGTACTAGTACAAAGCAAACACGGTTCATTTATACAGTTTCAGGCTAAACCTGTACGATAAAGACACTAAACAGAGAGCCCCAGTGTCAAAGTACATACTGTACCATGCAAACCATCTTGTACGCAGTAACACCATAACCGACCAATACTCTACCCTTACGGTATAACAGGGGGTTGGCCTTCGTACTAATGATCCAATAGCTGGTAACCATACTGTTTTGGAGGTGTGGTCTTGAATCGCCGCAGTCCCAAGACACTATATAAACCCCAACTACCCATTGCAGGTGTTCAGTTGACTGTCAAAATGGATATGACACTGATCAGCAATCGCTTCAACAGTTTTGAAAACTGGCCGGACCAGTCGCTCGCCCTAGAGAATTGGCAAGCCAGGGTTTTATTATCAAGGGGTGCATGACGAAATTCACTGTGCATACTGTGGCTATATTATGGGTGACTGGGTGAACTCACGGTATAAACCATACTACCGACACCGCTTAGCCCGTCCAGACTGTGTAAGGGGCGAAGATGAGAGAATACTACTTCCGTTTTCACCGGCAATGAAAGACTACAAGGCACGCTTTGCTACTTACGCTGAATGGCCAGCAAACAAACATCAGCATCCCAGGGATATGGCTGCGGCCGGCTTTTATTATGAGGGTAGGGATGATCGTGTACGCTGTTTTCACTGTGGAGGTGCACTACATGCTTGGGAGAAAGACGATGCCCCGTGGGAGGAGCACGCTTGGACTTACCCAAAGTGTCCGTATCTTATACAGACAAAAGGCTTAGCATTCATCAGTGACATTCGGAAAAAACGCAAAGAAGCCGAAACAACGTGTTGTGTGCTATTGCGAAACGCACCGCCAGCTACGTCGTCCGAAGATCCCAAAGAGAAGTTGAGCTGTAAAGTTTGCTACGAGAATGATTCTGAAATCATGTTTAGACCTTGCGGTCATTTAGTTTGCTGCGCAAAATGTTCAAGCAAGCTGCTACTGTGTCCGATTTGTCGGGGTGTTATTTTCAATAAGTGTTGGGCTTTCTTCTGTTAGATTGTGTGGTATTTCATGTTCATTTATGTTCATACAAAAAGAGGGTGGGGCAAAATAAACAAAAGAAAGGGGAATTCAGTTCGGCTCTAAACCGGTTCAATCGGCTCCAAACCGGTTCGACTGAAAACCGGACCGAAACCGAGCCGAACCGGACCGAAACCGAGTTGACGCTAAACTAGCGGCATATCTTCTGTCGCCCCAAAAACGATTTCTGACAACATAATATTATTCAGAATCAGCGACATTAATTCACCTATAAAAAGTGTTTAAATGCAAAAACAAAAGTTTTGTTAGTGGCGCTATTGCAACCGCCCAAAATAATTGAAGGGCGTGAGGTACCCTGGCAGTCAGAAGTTTTCTTTAAAAAAAATTTTGAAAAATGTTTTCCATATCAGAAAAATGGGATAAAAGTTGTCTAGATTTGCTCTAAAAACGTTTGAGGTCGAATGGGGTCTCGTATAATTACTGAAGCGCACAGGTATTTACTGTTGGATGTTTAATTTTTTAGAGAATTATTTAGAATTATTTAGAATTATTTAGAATTATTTAGAATTATTTAGAATTATTTAGAATTATTTAGAATTATTTAGAATTATTTAGAATTATTTAGAATTATTTAGGATTATTTAGAATTATTTAGAATTATTTAGAATTATTTAGAATTATTTAGAATTATTTAGAATTATTTAGAATTATTTAGAATTATTTAGAATTATTTAGAATTATTTAGAATTATTTAGAATTATTTAGAATTATTTAGAATTATTTAGAATAATTATTTAGAATTATTTAGAATTATTTAGAATTATTTAGAATTATTTAGAATTATTTAGAATTATTTAGAATTATTTAGAATTATTTAGAATTATTTGAATTATTTAGAATTATTTAGAATTATTAGAATTATTTAGAATTATTTAGAATTATTAATAATTATTTAGAATTATTTAGAATTATTTAAAATTATTTAGAATTATTTAGAATTATTTAGAATTATTTAGAATTATTTAGAATTATTTAGAATTATTTAGAATTATTTAGAATTATTTAGAATTATTTAGAATTATTTAGAATTATTTAGAATTATATAAAAGTACATTCTTGGAATCAAATCTGGATCGGGGCTTACGGTTGATACTCACACGTAGGAATTTTGAAATATTTTCGAAGCTCATAACATAACAGCTCTTTTAGGAAACTGGGTTTGAGACTTAGATGTGCTCTCCTCGTCACTGCCCAAACATTTTAGTTCGACTCAGCACATCAAACTGTACAGATATAGTACATATCGTGATGGCGACCTCGGGGACCCGAGTTCGAGGTTCCCGAGTACTTCAGTCCGATTCCGCACATCAAACTGTCCATATAGGGTTCATATCGTTTTGGCGACCTCGGGTACCCGGGTTCGAGGTCCCCTAGTACTTCAGTTCGACTCGGCTGGTCAAACTGTGCATTTGTAGTACATATAGTTTTGGCGACCTTGGGGACCCGGGCCGAGGTCCCCGAGTACTTCAGTTCGACTCGGCAGGTCAAGCTGTGCATTTGTAAAACATATCGTTTTGGCGACCTCGGGGACCCGGGTTCGAGGCCCCCGAGTACTTCAGTTCGACTCGGCAGGGCAAACTGTGCATTTGTAGGACATATCGTTTTGGCGACCTCGGGGACCCGGGTTCGAGGTCCCCGAGTACTTTAGTTGGACTCAGCACGTCAAACTGTACATATATGGTACATATCGTGGTGGCGACCTCGGGGACCCGGGTTCGAGGTCGCCGAGTACTTCAGTTCGACTCAGCACATCAAACTGTATAGGAATCACGACGAAAATCGGTGGCGACCCAAAGGTCACTCGGCGACCCAAAGGTCACTGTCACTTCCGTTACATCGAACCCTCAACATGTCTTGAATTAGAAACGCGGGCTCGCTTCGCTCGCCCGCTTGATTATAATTCGGCATTACCTTCTTGCCACTGGGTTCTTGTCCGTTTCACTCCCAGATTGCGCCGTTCCCCGCGTTGATTGTGGCATGCCCAGATTCCATGGTGTGTTAACAGACTGCGCTGTGCCAAGAGCAGCACGGCGGTGGCCCAGAGCATGATGATAGCGGTTGATTTCATCGTGTAAAAGTGCACTCGGCAAAAACCGGAAGCGCGATGTCTATGCACTCTTTCAGCGACAGAGTTTCATATTGAATTGTCAAGAAATATGCGTTCGGTTGTATGTTATTTTGATAAGAATCAAAAAACAATCCAGTATTGAATTTATGAAGCAGAAGTTGGTATTTTTACGCTCCTTGCCTTATACAATATATCGGCAAACAGACGGCGCTTTTATTTACAACTGGCTCTACACCACTTCTCAGCCAGCCACTCTAAAAACACCAGGCGCGCTTTCACATCCGCGTGAGAAACGCATAGCAGGCATAAAACCTGCAAGCTGTCTGCTGACAGGTCTGCTTGCTCACGGGTCACCCGAAACATCTTCAACTTACTAGCAGTGATGTCATAACACGCCTAGCAACCCAAACTGCAGAAGCGCAGGTCATTGCGTGTTGTGCAGACTGGCTTATACTACGGCATTAATGTGCGCGTACCGTATCTCTAGGCATGGCCACTGCGCACAGCCGCCTCGTGCGGGTGAGCGACTATACCATTGGGAGATTCGCTTCGAATCGGAGATCCACCCTTGGGTTTCGTAGGTTTCACAAAATGGAGAAATCTTGGTTCGCTCTGATTCATAGTATGTATGGCTGAATGTTGTGCTCGTCTGATAAAATATTTGAACAAAGTGTTTTTGCGACGATAAAGCATGAATTCTTTAAAAACTGGGCGAAGTTGACTGAGAAACTAAAGAAAACCCATGAAACCTGACAAAAGCCTAAGCAACCCTAACCACAATCAGAATAGCTAAGAAGATAGAGAAGAATAAATTCATGTTCGACATGTAGATGATATTTTAACGGTCTCGCTACAGGAGCTGCCCTCCTGTTGTAGAAAACGTTTCCTTAATTTACGTTTTCCTGTAAATTCATCGAAACAGTGGCAGAGATATTCGCAGGCCAATTTTTCTGACGGAATAACAAGTTTTTTTACAATCGACAGGCAATCTAAGCTGGATTCGCACCAAAACTGGAAAATAAATATCATCAAAAGCAGTTCGTCGTTACACTGAAACGTTGGTGGCTACACTATGCCCAAAAGCCGACTATAAGAACTCCATTTAGAAACTGGACGGTTTTGGCCAAACGTATCCCTGTAGCCTAATACACTTCGGACAATCAGTGCAAAGCGTGACCTTTGACACAAAACTAAGAGCAACTGTAGTGTACCTAGCAACGTATGGTTCTGTCAGTTGTATTCCTTGAGTTTCTGCGGTCAGTTACGATCTTGCAAGATTCAATAAATCTAGAACTTCTACATATATCACAGCAACGCACCGTGAGAGTCAGGTCTTCAGTCCGCTCGTCGTCCTCCATGGCATCTTGCGCCATTCAGTTATCAATCGACTCCGCCAACAACGATCGTTTGAGTGGCTTCGGATGAACGAGACCGTTTCCACAGAGATCCCTCAGTTCTAGCTCTGTCCGCTCTGGTGACGGGACGATGAAGGCGTGCCGCGCGACAACTGCCTGCAGATGGGTATCATGGATGCGGCAGTCTTTGCAGATCGCTCCGTCGGACTGTGAACACCTGGTAATCCAATTAATCACGTCCGTCATAAAAGAGTCAACATACTCTGTACATGCCGAAACTAAAGTCGTAAGTCACTCGATGGGTTCCGCACCAGACGGTCCAAATTAAAAGATCATCCAAATTCTGATTAACCCATGCGAGAATCAGAGGCCAATTGGGGAATACGGATGCGATTGTAGTAGACACTAAGCCACGATGGCAACATTGGGAATCGCGTTGGGATTCTCTCTGGTATTCCTGGCGGCGGCGCATTCTCTGCCTGCCGAAATCCTGACCAGCATGCCTTGGTTGTTAATTTTTGTTTTGCAGAGGCGGCGCCAACAGCTGCGTATGTTACCGAGGGTCAGGATGAACATCAACGGATCTAGGACCGTCTGGACGATGTAGACACTGGCCGCGGTTCGATACAGGGCGGGGTGCAGTTTAGTATTTGGACTGTAGGTGAGAATAATATTGCAGCACATCATGGGCCACCAGCAAAACAAAGTACTGCCGGTGTATAACGTCAGCAGCGTAAAGGGTCGTCCGCCTTCCGGTCGAGTGGGTGCTGGTGCCGCTGGATTAGCCACCGGTCTGATTGCTCGTCGTCGCGAGTACATCTTCCACAGTAAGAAGGGGAAGACGACCGGAATGCCCACTTTGGGTACGTCATAGATCAGAAAAGTCGTCAACGCAGCGAGAGCCGGTTGGTGGCCGTTATTTAGCCGACAGCCTCCCTCCAACGGGAGACGATAGTACAGACGATCGCGAATCAGCAGCGGCAGCATGAAACTATGCACGTAGACCATCACGGCGCCGCAGAGAATGCCGGCGATGGTCCGATTATGACGGGCACGGTAGGAGATGGGTCCGAAGAGTGCCCAGACGCGATTCAATGTAACCAGCCAGTGGAAGTTGTACACCAGCGGGGATATGACGTAGATGGCATACAGGTGGATGGTGCACAGGGAATGACCCAGCCTCACTGCCCCGTACTCACGCTCCGCGATGTCCAGTGCCCGGTCCAGACATCCTAACGCCACATTACTGCACAGTATGGCGACAATGTACATGTTGAAGGGTGTCCGCAGCGATGCCTGGGTCAGGGTCACCAGCACCGCCAGGGTGTTGAGCCCAACGACCAATATTCCGGTGCTGAAGGTGCCGCCATCCAAGGAGACATTGAACGGCAGTGAAAAAGGCCGGGAGTCCGAATGGTTGGTGGCCGAGAGATTATGGGTTATTGTCGCGTTTGAATCCATGATAGTCAATGCCCAAAACCGCTACATACGAATATAAGGTTTTTACTCTTGGGGATTAAAAATGAATACGGCACTTGCGCCAAATAATCCAACTGTTTCGAGTGAGATGGGTAAAGCAAAAGGGCCAGTGCTCAGAGAGCCTTTAATGGATACGAAGTCGATTAATGAGCATATCCTACATTCCACGGAATAATTTCCGCTTGACAAACACATAAGAGAATTCACCCAATGTTTTCGTAAAGGTTAACTGAAGGAGCCATAAGAACTGCAACCGTTTCCACTTTCCCGTTCCACTTACATGTATAAGTCCCGACGGATTCATATCCTTATGAAGTGCAACAAAAGCCGATCCCTGCACCGGATGTACAGATATGAGTCACACTGAAAGAAGCCATAAACAACACCTGTTTCAAAATTGCTCTAGTTTTAACTCTCCAGATTCGTGTGATTACTGACTTGTTACGTTTAACTCCCTTGGGGATAGTCAAGGTCAAGAATGCGGCAGTTGGTTCGATATATTATGCATCGTTGGTCTATAAATGCGGAACAAGCAGAAGGATCGATGATATCAATGTCGAGAAAATAGAGAATCATCGTCTTTGAGACATCATTAAGGAAAATCAGTCTTACAGCATACAACTGTGCGTGTTTGAAAGTCCGTGATAAATAGGGAGATTTTGACCTTTGGCTTCCATAGGCTCACTTATTACGCACTGCACATGAGCATTTTTCATAAACGCGGGACACACTGGATCTTTTCTTGCCTGTAGTCGGCAATTTACAAGAATTGGCGTTTCAGTGCGTGCTGCAGTAAATGTGCTACCGCGCGTGCAATAATCAATAATATTTGAACGCGCCATAGTTTGCGGTACGTTTACTGACAATGTGTTTGCGATGCCAACATAAAATGCACAGTGAAAAATTACAGACTGAAACTTGTCAGACACTCCTTAGTTCCACTTCCGAATTCCGGTTAGCTAAGCAGAGTTCCGGTTAGCCAAGCGGAGCAGTCTGCAAACCATTTAAATGTGCAATAATTAGGCAATAAGTCATGCATTAACGTAATTTGATTGACACAGGAAATCTTCGGTGCCTCTTCAGATATGGATGTATATGTCAATTGAATGCGCTAATTTTAATCACCGGAAAAATTGCCAGGAACTGTCGACGAACTATGGATGAATCAAAGAATATTGTATGGTTGCAAACTTCCCACTCCAAACAGAGTGATCGGAAAACTGCTGCTTCTCTTCTGCTGAGAACTGTCAGTTTGCCATTCAAGCTGGCTCAGTAGGCAGATGGTAAATCATACCGGTGAAACTTTGACACTATTCGATTGAAGACAGGGTCAAAAACCATAACGATTATTGTCTCTGCCGAATTGAAAAAGATCCTGTTTGCAAGCGTTTTCGGATGAAACGAATGGGAAATTTTATCCTCCTTCGATCTTCCTTCACAGTAACGTAGCATTATCGAAGCTAGAAATTCAAGCATTTCTGAGCTTTCGTAAAATAATTCCTGAAGAAACTAAAGTAAAGGTAAAATAATTTAAATACGTAAAGTAAAATAATTTCTGTAAAATTAGGTAATAAATGCTACAAGATAAAAATTCTAAATAATTTCAGCTTTTCGATGACTTAATAAAAAAATAAACGGTTCTCGTCAAAATAAATGTTATGTCGTTATTACCGCTGTTGCTTCCAACTGGTCTAAAATGAGGCGTTGTTGCACTTGAAAAGTTCAATCTTCGTAAACCAAATCATTACGAGCATAGGCTAGACTTCAAAATAGAATTATTCGTCCATACAAAGTTCCTAGGAAAATTTTCCGGGTGATTAAAATGAGCGCATTCGACTGAGATACGCTGAATACCGGTGACTTTCTGTGCATTATCCAATTCTCGTTTGATTAAGCACTAAAGGATTCCGGCAGCAGCCAGTTACGAGTACGTTAATGCATAACTTGTGGCCTAGCAATTTGCACATTTAAAAGGCACGAAGACGATTCCGCCTGACTGACCAAAATTCAGAAATAGAGTAACGGGAACTCTGAAAGACTGTCTGACAATTATGAGTCTGCAATTTTCCCGTCTGCATGTTGTGTTGGCATCGGAAACTAATGTTGTCAGTAAATGTACTGCTGATTACACCGCGTCTGGTATAATTCCTAACTACTGCGTGCAGCCGTAAATGAGCCACGGTGCGCCCAGTAATCATTGAATATTGCACGCACGGTGGCTCGTGCAAGATGCAACTGTACGCCGCGTAGCCGGTCGCCAAGAAAGCACACGTTGCCGCCCAGGAAACAGCACTTTGCTGCACAGTTCAGCGGAAGTCCGGATCCTTTCAAACAGATGGCATGTGCCCCTACAGTCTTGCCGGTCGATGGAATCCAGGCACGCCTCCACAAGCAGCAGTGCTGGTAGACACAAATAGCTATCGGCGACGTCCTACCGCTGACGCTTCGCCGCTCCCGTTAATTCCAAACTCAAACTATTAAGTTGCTGGGACTTTTTCCCTTCCACCGCAAATTTACCCAGAGAGCGTAATCAAATATCTTGTCGTTGTGTATGAAGGACTACCCAAGCGTAATTTACCCCACCGTGCATTACCCAAGCAGAATTTAATGAGCGTGCTGCTTTAAGCTTTTTTAAGCGTTTCTGCAGATTTTCGGTAAATACCGGGATACATTCCGCAGCGTAGCACTGTAAATTCTGGACGTCATCATCAACAAATACCGCACGGTAGGGAAACGCGGTTCAAGTTGACGATTGCCCTTCATGATTGTGCATAAACTGTTGAGAACGGTGAATAAATTAAGCAAAGTGATTTCCCATAAATACGCCAAGTGTTGCACGAACACAGACTTGCATGGAATGGTTCAATTAAAGATGACAGACGTTTGATTAACAGTTGCAACTTGCAACGTACAGTACGTAAGACAAAAAAACCACGCCAGTCGGTCAATGGTTCGCAAATGGTGCACAAAAACCAGCAAACAATGTTCAGGACAGCAAGAGGAACACACTGTAGTGTGTTCCTATACAAGTATTAAATTGCCGCAATTCGAGCAGAAATGCGCTTTAATGGCGCAATAATTCGACATTTTTCGCATTTCGGACATTTTCTAAATATGGATTGGCCTTGTTCTCCGCGTTGCTCTGTTTGACGAAACATTATCAATAACTGGCTACGTGATTAATGATGTAACAGGCAAGCGCGAGGAGATCACGAGTGTGCTTTATTGTACAAATAAAGGGAACAATGCTGCGTAATAGCAGGAATGCAAGAACAAAGCACTGATGGCTAAGCAGGTGAATGCTAGAAAAGCTCTTGAGCGTTCGCCAAGGCGTGAAAGAAGCAACTGGCGGCAAGCACGTGCTGTGTGCCATCAGCTGTGTGATGATGCGCAGACTGGACTCATTCCAACGCGAGCGTATGAACGCTGAGTCATACTGCGAGAGAGGGACGAGAGAGCAAGTATGCTCAGTGTGTGCGCCGCGTATATCCGCTTCAGCGGATATGAGTGCAGTGCAGCAGCACACGTACGTACAGCGAGAGAGGCGATAACGGCAAGCATGAGTGCAAGTACGTCCATGGTGGGCCGTACGCACCAGGCGCAGTCGTGGGCCTCTGACATGCCTCTGGGCGGGAATCCGAGCTCCTGCGAAGGATGCTCCGACTCGGTACCGCACCAGTACCGCACAACTCTCCAGTCGGACCCAATGTGGGGTCGCTGGTACGCGTCCTCTGGCAGTGGGAGTCCGGTGTCTGGTCGACCGTCCCTTCTTCACTTCCGAACCCATGAGTGGAAGCCACTCACGGCCGAAAAATCCGGAAGCCGCTCGGGCGTTTCGTTGGACCGGTGGTGCTTCTGTTGGCTGGCTTCTTGCTTCTGTTGGCAACGGAGAACAATGTGAAAGAAAAGTGTGATGAAAGTTGTATACAGCGCGAAAGAAAGTATGAAATAAAGTTTAATCACAATTCCAGTGAGCAAAGGGGTTACAAAACAGATCTGTTAAAGAGATCGAACTAGAAAAATACAATTCCGTTTGTTAGGAGAAATGCTAAAAAAATGCAAAAATCTGTCCGGGGTCCTATTCCGACTAGGATGACGTCCACGGGGCAGTTGAGTCTCCACGGGGTCTCCTGTCCACTTTCATCCGGTAAGGCTGGGTCCGGGGCATCAGTTCCCAAGTTACCCTTCGTAACCGGTTGCATTCACCGAGGTCGGATAAGCACGGTTAAACACTTACTTCCGACTCGTATCCGTCCGTCAGAGGTAGAGAGGCACTGTTGCGGTTGCAAATGCCGAGGCATCCTCTCTGAATGGGGAATAGAACCGAGGTCGGTTTGACCAAGGTCGGCCGACCGGTAAGTCAACCGGCGGCTAGGGGGAATTCGGCTATGTTCCGAATTGCTAAAGTGCAGGTCGGAAAAAGCTGTATGTGAGTCATGCGGCCTGTGTGGTCGTCATGTACAGCAGTTCCGTTCAAAAGTGGTCGGTTACAACCGTTCAATCTGCTACCACGAGCCTGGTTTGGAGCTATCCGAGTCGAACTGTCTCGAAGGTCCGCTCGGAATCCATAAGTTTCTTCGGCGGAAGTATCAAGTCGACTTCCCTCCGATTTGTTCCGTTGTTATCCGACCTTTTGTCGAGGTCGGTCGTCCTATCTGCCGGTGGTCGACTAGGGTTAACCTGCAATGACATGCCCATGTGGGGCTAAACAAGTTCCTTCAAGTCGAATTCGTCCACTGCAGATAGTTGTCGTTCTTCTTCCGTCATGTTGACTAAGTTGCCGACTTCCGACATGTGGTCGGTTATGGTCGACTTCGGGAGGTCGGATGAACTATGTTTCCATCCGTCCGAAGGTCGGATTTTTCCGTTAGGAGGTCGGTTCTCGACTTCTAAATGCCTTTACCGACTTGTTGTCGTACCCTCCCGACTTCTATGCGGTCGGTTCCGACCTCGGCTTGAGGTCGGATATCCATATCCGAGTT